ATAATTATTTATTTATTGGTCCATTTCTGCTTTTATTTCTAATTATGACAGTCTTGGTGCTCCATATGACTTTGTCACAGTTTAAATCATTACAAACCCAGTCCCAAATTACAAATGGGCTTTAAGGAAGGAAATTTATTAAATAAATTTGCCCTTGCATCATTTTGGATTTTTTTTTCACAACATTTCTAATTTGTGTATTAATATTTGCAAATATAAATCAAAAACTGCTCCGTGCAGTTTTAAACTAAAAARTGCTTCTATTAATCCTGCTGATCCMGTGATTCACAGACAACTGTGACAAGYTTCCTCTAAAGCAGCCGTAAATCTTTGTTCTGTGGACACGTACTGTCAGCTCACCAGGATTTATTAGTGAGAATTATTTAATGTTTACCAAAGAGGTGGAAGTAAAGTATTTGCTAAAGCATTAAGTATTTTTTTAATCCTCTTAGTGTAGATTAAATATTATGTTTTTGGATGTCACTTAAAAGAACAAATCCTGCATATCTATTTTTTTTCTTCCATGAAAAACAAGTAATAAAATATTTTTATGGAAATGTTTGGATAATGGATTTATTTTACGGTCAGGTAAATAAGTGATGGTTGTTCTGAATTATTTGAAAATACAGTATTTTATCAAATAAGGACTCTAGATATTACTTTGCTAAAGTAAATCTCTTCCAGACAGTTCAGTGCAGAATGACGGTGCTGTTAAATGTGGTATGAAGGTGACTCCATCTTTGGAAACCCAGAGGAAATGAAATTAAACCCGTCGGATCGATGACTCTTTTCTTTCTGTGTCAAAGTGAGGTGTATTATGTTTATATTATCTTAGTTATTTTGAGCCAGCTCAGCTCTTTTATCTAAAAAGTTTTATGCCAACTTTGAATTCAGTCATTTCTGTGATTTTTTTTTTTTGCGAGACACAATTTATCTCCGCTGTCAAGTAAATGAAATGCCAGCGGCAGCTGGTGAAAAATGAGGCAGCGCAGGAGCATAACCTCCTCTCAGCAATCTGCACATTTGTCATACCCAGGGCTCGCATCCCTACCAGTCGCTGAGCTACACCAGCGGTGACACTGCAGCCGATTCACCCGCCCACGTGAGCCGCGGAGGCGTGCCGGCCAAGGACAGCCCAAGGAAGGAGAGTCTCCTGAGCAATCTGACGGGCAGCTTTCGGAGCCTTCACAACCTGCTGGAGGGCACGCCTCAGAGGAACGAGCCGTCTGCAGCCACAGCCGCCAAGAGCAGCTCCCTCACTCGCACAGGTAGCTTCACACAGACTCCTGCTGTGTTGCTGTGTGGAACCCTCTACTCACCAGCAGAAATGTTCTCTTTGTAAAAACAGCACTCCAACAGTGACCTCTACTGTTCAGTAAACAAAGTCCAAACCATGACTATGATGCACAGAGGAGAAATATTTTAATTGTTTTTACTTTGAGCGTTTTAAACCATAGATTTATTTTGTTGATGGAGGCCTGAGAACAGATGAAAGTAACCGTGACTAATGTTCACTGCTTGCTGTTTTTTTTATCACGCCACGTCTTCCTCAGGGACAGAAGTGCTGACCGAGCACCCGCTGCTGTCTGAGCCGTCCTCCGTCAGTTTTTACAACTGGATGTCCAACGCTGTGGGTAATCGAGGCGGAGCTGCAGCCCAGGAGTCTCCTGTCAATCACTCGCAGCACAACAGCCTGCAGACAGGTGAGAAAACCCTGTTACAGGCAACACCGGGGAGTTTCACTTTAGCAAATGTTCTAGATGTAATGTAAGTTTTATGTTTCACACCCAAAGGCTTGTTTTAAAAGAAAACACTTTTCCCGTGATGTTGTTTTACTAGACTCACTGGATTCATTGGTCAACAGCTACCACTACCACCCACTTCCAGCTCGCAGCCCAGAAGGAGGTCAGGGATTGTTGGGCCATGTGTTTAATTAGTTCACTAGCTGTTTGTTTGTGACTATTGTTAGTTTAATAGAACCTTTTAAATTGTGCCGACAAACCTGGCTACAGATGTGTTTGTGTTTTTGTGAGTTAAGGTTTCCTGTATTTATTCTAGAAGAATGTTTTTATTTGCAGCCACGTTTCAGTTTAGCAAAAACCCAAAGAAATGATGAACTGTAGAATCACACTGTGGTATAAGTCAGTGTGTGTGTGTGTGTGTGTGTGTGTGTGTGTGTGTGTGTGTGTGTGTGTGTGT